TATTTTCTGTTTCTTACACTGTTTCCTACCTTGTGATTGATCGTCATAACTTCTTTTTGCTATATATATTCCATGAATCGAGAAGCAAATAGTATTTTCTGGTTCCCACGGAACAAAAAAATATTGGCAGATTTTTAAGTAGAAGCTTATTCCATTTCCTCTTAATTTACAAAAATAGGCAAGATTTGAACACGTGAAATCATCAAATATAAACTCTTGTTGCATTTCTATATCCGTATATGCGCATTCTTTATACATGTCGATTGCATCTGTTATGCTTTATGCCAGTTTAACTTTGTTTCGATTTATGTGTGCTTCCTGCTTATTAGAGTTAAATATTTTCATTAAAATTTTTATAACATTAATGGGATTAACATCCATACTTATAAAAAATAAATTTTACAAATGTTCAAAAAGGGAAACAATAATACAATTACCATATACTTATTCATACCCACTTTCCTGCATCAGTATATTTTGGAATAATTTTCGTAAAGAGTTTCATTGGCCATAGAAACCTATGTTCCGTAAAGCGACGACTGGTACCGCAGCGGATTTATACCTGCCCGTAGAGACCTTCCCTGGCTACCGATGGCACAATAAACATCTGATATTGTCTAATTGTTAAAAACGTAACAGATTATCGCATAAAAAGGGCTGACCCTCTTCGAAAACAAATCTCAATTCACTTCTCCGTAAAAAGTAGAAGAAAATTGTATATGTAATAATTATTGCTAAATTGCAATAAACAAAAAATTCCAAAAACACGTATCCCCTATTTTGATCCATATGTTTAATATACAAAGCTGCAAAAAAATCGAACTGCATTTAGGGTGAAAAATTGAAAAAAAAGTGCATTTTTTAAATATATTATTTAAATAAATAATTTCTCCCGAAATTTTTGTCACTAACTAAATTGCTGACTAAAAACTACACAATTTAAAAAAAAATTCACCTTCCTACACCCTCTAGTTTCCGAGATATTGAAGATAATGTGTTTTCAACCCCCAACTTTGAGGGCTATTTTCACCCCCTTAACATGGATGTCCGCAGATATAAAAAAATACGTGTCAAATGATTTTTAAAAAGCTACAACATATATCAATTTCATTAAAATCCGCGTGTGACACCTTGGTGATGTCCCTTGTTAATCATATACAAAAGCGACCTACTTCACTTATTCGACCTAAATAAAAAATACCACAAATTCGCCATAGCCTTCGCCAACAACCTACTTATATACATAAAAAACAAGAAACCCTCCATAATTAAAAAACAGCTTCAGAAAATATTTGCAAAAATACAAGAGTACCTCCAAAACTGGAAATTAAAAATCAATACAGACAAATGCGAAACAATCCTCTTCCGCCCAAGCCTTGCACGCTCCGACAAACCCAACTACGACGTCCAAAAATACGCATAAACCTTCCACCTACATGACAACAACAACCCACTGCTAGAGATATCGAACAAAAAAACAGTAAAATACTTAGGCATTCGCCTTGACTACAAACTCAACTTCACCAATCACACGCGAACAGCAATAGACGAAGCTCAAAAAGCATTCCCCAGCAACAAACACCTCTTTTACAACAAACAGCTAAAACCAAACACAAAACTAACCTGTTACAAAGCCCTAATTAGACCCATCCTACCCTATGGAAGTCCAATCTGGTTCAACCTACCGTCAAATTCCATGGAAAAATTCAGACTTTTCGAACGTAAGTGCCCAAGAGCATGTCTCGGCAAATATAGAACCCCAGAATCAAACTTAACAAAAAAATACAATAACCATAAAATTTACGAACTCGCCAAAATCCCTAGAATAGACTTATTTTCACTCAAACTAACGCGCAACCACTAGACAAACACCAGAAAAATCACTAGCGAGCGCGACACGAGGCCTCATATTTAGCTCCACCTACCCCAATCCTCTCTACTTTAGCAGAACACGAAACACAGGATACACCCCACCGGAATCCTTCCTACACCTCAACAAATAGGGCTTCATCCAAGACCCCAACAACATCCCGCTTATTTACCACTGTGTAACGTCCTTGCGACTAGACTCAGGTATTTTACAGCACTTATGAAGCAAAGAGCGGTTTTTGCCTATTAAGCGACTCGTTTTTACTATAACTAATTCTAAAGGAATGTGGGATCGTGGTGGCGTGTGGTTAAAGAGTGAAATCTACAGGTTAATACCTTTCATTAATTAGGTTTATTCAAATAATGATGAGAAAAAGAGTTATAATTAACAATTTCTTTAGCAAATATAAAAATGTATGTATGATTGAATTCTGCAAGCAAACTGGAGTATAATAGACTTGTTGTTGTTGCAAATCGTAAAATGGTAGCTAACTACTTCAATTACGTGGTTTTATAATGATAAACGCAACGCAAAAATATAACGCAATTTTACGATGGATCTAGATCCTAACAAAACTGTCAGAACAATATTTGGTTAATTACAAAAACTCTAAAATTTGTATTAGACGTGGAACAGTTACTTCTTGTTTTGACCCTAAACTAATTAGTTCATGGCCCTTTTCGTCAGAGCACTAATCGACACCCAAAACCTGATTGCTTAATTGGGGAGCCTGCGTTAGCTGGCTACTAGAACTACCCAACGATCGAGTATCCAAATGGCTGATACCCGCTGTCCAGTCAAAACTAAGAATCTTGTAGGCTCTTACCAGTTAAAACTGTTCCAGTTAGTCGCTTCCTAAAAGGTCCGTCACGTAGTACTTCAAAAATTATTCTGCGTTCGCAGCCGCTGCTGCATGCCCTTTTGTACCCAGAGAATCATGGGTTTTTCCCGCTCAAAAAGTAGTTATTCTTTTATCACGCTTTATTTAGTAGCAAATATATATTAGTTTGATTAATAAAAATACGCTTTGCTTTATTATTAATTAGTTTCTCACAAGTTTTCCCGTTAAATCGTATTTTTAATAATTTTTAGATACGCAAATTATAAGGGTTTTAATAGAAAAAATAATTAATCGCAAACAATACATAAAATAATAGCTAAAAATATAA